GCTGAAGGCCCAGCTTCTGCTGCTCTCATTTCAGGTCATTGTGCAGAGGTCTCTCTCCGCCAAGAGTCTGTCTCATGCCAAAGGAGGCTCTGTGCTGGGGGGCTACCTGAAGATCCTCCCCATGTTCTTCATTGTCATGCCCGGCATGATCAGCAGGGCCCTGTACCCAGGTAAGGGCTGCTCTTCCACTCTGGGCACTGGGTGTGGGGCTTACAAAAGACTTGCAGAGAAGAGGATCCTGGGAAAGCTGGGCTAGAGAAGGAGTTGCTTCGAAGAACAGATGGTTGTAAATATGTTGGACTTTGCAGGCCGAACGAATTTAACTATTGTCATAGAAGACATTTGTATCAGAATGTCACTTTTAAATCCTGCTTCTTTTTCATATAGGAAAGACTAACGGCAGCATCCAAGATTATTTGTTTTTTACAAAGATAGAAGCTCTAAAACCCAAATGAGTATGTCATCTCACGATAGTAGTACAGGCGACACACTTCAAGACACAACTGAGTAGTAACACCTACACACTCATCTGCCCCTTGACTTACCAGACACTTGCCCCATCAGAGTCACCAATGAACACTAGCGCCAGAGGCCCAGAAAGGAGCCAACCCAGAAAGGTTCATGTGAGACCCCCTGTCACACAGCCCTAACCACCTTCTTCTGCAGACGAGGTAGGCTGCGTGGATCCTGACATCTGCCAAAGAGTCTGTGGGGCCCGAGTGGGATGCTCTAACATTGCCTACCCGAAGCTGGTCATGGCTCTCATGCCCATCGGTAAGTTCTCATCTTCCTTCCCCCAGCCTCTACTCCCACCGGCCACCCGCCTCCAATCCTCACTGCATGGGAGGCTAAGAATGGATGAGGCTGTCACTGTTTACAGAAGCAGAAAGCCTCTTCTTTCTCCCAAGATGTTCACCTCCACATGGCTGCAGCACACACAGACACACACAGTCCCCCACCACCACTAGTGTTCACACCTGTCTGCACAATGCCTTCTCTGTGTCCTGGCACCGAAGATGCAGAGATAAAAGGCAGGCCTCGCTCTTTGGTCTCATGCAGTGCCCAGCACCTACAGGCTTACAAACAGTACGGTATCATGTGTCCAATGTGGTGACGCCAGGGGGGATAAAGCAGCATTGGAATCGAGCCCTCCCTCGGACAAAGCCAGAGGGGAGCGGGGAGTGTTAGTCTGGGGAAGCGAGGCTGTCTGTGCCAGGGCACAGGCTGGGCAAGGATCTGAGGTCTGACCTGAGGGCACCTCCACATAGACTTCAGAGATTAAAGACACAAGCTTCTCTTCCGAGATGTCCCGCGGCTTTTACTCTAAGAACCACGGGGTAGATGTGAGGTGTGAGGTATGAGGCCAGAGCATGCATGACTGGATTTGCGCTTTAAAAGGGCGGCTACCTGGAGGACTCCTCATGGAGGAAGCTTGGGCAAGGGAGCCAGGGAGATAATTAAGGAGGCAGGTGTTTGAATTCCCCACCTGCGCAGTAGTAGTGGCTTGGACAAAGTAAGTGGCATTAGTGAATTGGGGAAGGAATTGAAAAGATATTTGTACAGGACTTGATGAGGGATGGCTTTGGAGAGATAAGAATAACAGAAGAATGCAAGAGGGCTTTGAGATCTCAGGTACTAGAAGCCGGTTTACAATAAGATTGGGATTGGGGTCCCAGCAAGAAAGGCAGGTTTAGGGAAGGAAGTCAATGAGTTATCCTAACCTTTGGTTGGATGAGAAAGGGGTCCAAGAGCCTGATGGTTGTAGAAGGCCTGTAGGCAGAGCAAGCCCAGAGGAAACGGATGCTCGTGGTGGGAAGGGATCAGGGATCCAAACTCTCACTGCCCTTCCGGCCACGCTGACTCAGAAAGACCCCAGAGGGCAGACTAGACCTGCTCCTAGGGGTTCCTGGGGCTGTCACTGTTTACAGAAGCAGAAAGCCTCTTCTTTCTCCCAAGGTTTGCACAACCCACTACCCCACCAGAATTCCACCGGGGAAATGGGGTTGAGGGTGAATGGGTCTCAGGAACTTTGAAATGTCTGGTGTGCAGGACTAGAAAGGGACTAATTCCTGAAGAGGGAAACTGAACCCGCCCGAGGCAAATGGCAGCCTTGCGTTCAGGCGCCCATGACTCTCCCAGGAGAGCTGAGCTGGGGCAGGACTGGAACTTGTTTCCCCAGAAGCGAGTGAATGGCCATATTCTAGG